CAGCTACTACGGACTACATCCCATCTTGACGAGCCTTGCGATCCTCAACCCACAAGAAATTCCAGACATCCCCCATATATTCTCCTCTCCCGCGTACTGTATCCACGAGCTCTGCGACGAAGAACATCATAGGAGAGATAGAGAGGAACAAGCAAAGCAACTAATTGCGCTCGGGAGTTCTACTTGACTTATTGGAATGTACATTGCAGCATACTCAATACACGCAAGTGACGCGCATGGCTTGTACTGATCACACGTCAGTGCATAACGCCTACTCTCTGTTTTCCCTCTCACGCTACGTAGATAATCGCTCTCCGCTCTGAGACGCATGAGTTCCCGGAAGGGATCTGCTCCAAGTTGAGCTACTGGTGAATGCAGCACTGGCTGTCGGGAAAACTTCGCCATGTGCCTCGATTCAGCATAGTCCAGAGTCCCCGTGGGCTAATTCGGATACCCCGAAACTTGCCTCTGGCGCTGGTACTCTTCTGTACGCAACCGTATGACCGAAATATATAAACCATCGGACATGTCCTATGAGCTCTACAACCCAACCACGTCCCCGGAAAGCCCCGGAGAGTAATACCACATGTCCGCTCGTCTACAAGTCGTCCATATGGATCCTATCCTCCTCACAGACGGCAGCACCTTGGTGAAGATCTCGAACTATTCCCTTACTCCACTACTGACCCTCCTCCAGACTGACTGGCACGTTGTTGTCGTCACTTATTTCGGCGTCGATAATATCACGACAGACGTATTCGTGCTCTTCAGTTCCGAATATCTTGCCCAGTTCGTCGGTGATACACCTTATACCACCGTCGTCACGTCCTCCTCGAATCCCAGTACAAGCTAGAATGAAAGCGGCCTAGTATTATAGTATTACTTACCGCTGATCAACAAACGAGCTCTCGCGTACGCCCTCGAAGACATGTACACTGTCGAAGATATATGCGTACTTGTCTAATATATGCGTACTTGTCTAATACTTGTCTAACATACTTCTCTAACGTGCCACACTACCTACGTCAACGTTCCCTCGTACAGCTATGGCCAGTCCATACAATGTCACGTTCGCCGTTAGTTCCCTCTCCACATTCAGAAGCCTCTCCCTGCCCTCCCGCCACTCCTTGTCTAGACTTCGTTTGCTCGACGTGTTTGCGAGTCCGTGGCTCTCTCTACCGCGAGGCCGATCGCCTCCTAGCACGTGCATTCAGGAACGTGTACTCGCGTGGACACATTACCGTGAATAGGGCATCCGACTACACCACCCCAGACCCAAGACGCGCCCAGTCCTTCAAGCGTTGCCTTGTTGAAACTCACAACCAGGCAACCACGGTCCCCGAAGACCCTCCTAACACACGGCGCCAGCCATGACTGCGCGCATCGACGCACGGTCCCATTCCTGTCACGGTCCCAGTTCTCGGGTCGAATCCGGAAGTCGATCCCGTAGCGAGCGTAGTGAGCCAGCGGCGTGTTGCAGTTGTTGATACGATGAATGTGAAAGAGGGAACGGCGGAAGAGAGTCAGCGTCGGGTATGCTGACAACACCCCGTCTGCAGTCAGATAGTTGAACTGCAGCGTGCTGCTCTGAAACGCCACGGGGAACGACGCAACACTGTGGAGACCTTGTCGGCCCGTGACAGCGACGATTATCTGCATCACGCGTCCTCCCGTCGTGCGCTCAAAATACACGATCCGTTCCATGCCTGCGAAACGGGACCGGGGTGACGAACGGCAGTAGTCGGCCAGGTTCTGGTGCGTGTTGAGTTCGCGTATGCAGCGGAAGCAACACACGGACATCAAAAAGTTCATGAACATCTCATGGTGCGGGTAAGGCACCACGAAACTATACGACGACGATGAACCTAGACCCAAGAAGAACGCGAGCGCCGCGGGACCGACGAGTACTGCGTTGCACGTCCGCATGACCTCCAACACTGCATCGCTGTTACGCAGCACTCTGCCAACGCACCGTCAACAACGAGTACATTAAACGACGAAGGAATACGTACGGTTCAAAATGGTTCCGGTGTCGAAAGGCGAGCTCTTCGTTCGCGATGGTAGACAAGATCGGATGTACGCCCCGACAATAGATGAGGATGTCCGATGTGGACAAGACCGAGAAGATCATCCGCTTCAGCTCGGCAGGCAGATGTGATCCGTCCGATGCGTGTGGTACCATGACCGTAGTGTTGTCTGTTCCACAGGCAGTTGTGGACGAGATTGGCGTGGACATGAAGGGTGTGCGGTTACCGACGGCGCAGTAGCTGTAGTTCTTCTTCCTTATATACAACGGCGCCCTGCGTACCCTCATCTACCCACCCAGCGTCGCGTGTCGGCCGCCACTTACTTGACCTTCGGAATGGCTGTCAACAACGCGTGACTTCATCGTGGCCCATAAACAAGCCATCTCGCCCACTTCCAGCCTATAGTCGACTCGTACTTCCATCAGTACCTCTTTGAATCGCAAAGTGGAGGCTGTTACGCACCCGTTATTGCTGGCTTCCATACGGATACTTGTCCTCAAAGGACCACCCGAACCTGCACGTCGTACTTCGCCACTTTCTATGCTTACAAATGCTGTGCATAATGTTCAACTCTAGACGCCTCAAGTATCTCATACGCTCCCCAATTAGTACGCACACACCGCCACACCTATGACCGAGCGCATCTTCCTCCTCATCGGGACAAGTCTGAGATCAAGGGAACTCTCATTTCTCGTTTTGGACCAGCACCGTATGTGCAGACATCCCGATCCTAGTATCACTCTTAATCAATATTACCCTCACAAGCCGGTCTCCGAATTTTGCTCGCACGATGTTCCGTGTCCTCACTTCATTCAATCACCCGGTCAACCTAGGTGCCCCGTTCAAGAAACGCTGCGATCCCTCACGTCCGTTACGCTAACTTCCTCGTGCCCAATTTCAACGGCGTACGGCGTATTTGTCACCCCTCCACCCTCTTTATCCCGTGCGCCCCTTTTCTTCTCCCGTAGCTGACCACAACAGAGAAATCTAACTGAATTCACACATCGCTCGTGACATGTCATATGTGAGTCTTCTCATATTTAGACATCACCGATGGCATACAGCCCATCTGGCCCGCAATTCCTCTATTTCTACCGACTACTACGCCATACCCGCGTTCTCCTCGTACTTGTCCAACACCCAGCCCAATTCTCACCAGATGGCGACATTTCAAGACCCGCAGCCCCAAGTCCGCCTTGCATGCTTCAATGACATGCTCGACTCGCTTTGCCATGTAGCCCTTGAAGCGCCTCCTTCTCATGGGAGATTGCCTCTGTAACCCTGCCGTCGCACGTACAACTTGCAGTCACTCACACGTACTACACCCCCCCCCCAGAACACTCAACCCCCACGCCGTGACGCTACCGGCACATGTCTACATCCGCATTGCGGATAGCCTCCCATACGCAGACGCGAGTCGATTTGCGTCAGTCTCCCGCGCAGCGCACGATGCTGCAACGACTGTCCTGTACCACGACATCTTCTTTACCGACAAGACGATGCTACGGGCACTACAGTGTCTTGCGTCGAACGCAGACCGGGCAACTACCGGACAAAAACGCGTCCACCCAACATCGAAGGTTAGGACCATCACGTACATAACCAACGATCCCGACCTGGACCGCGTCGCCCTACCATTCCTTTCCATCGTCTTGGAGCACGCCGCAGGACTTCAATACATCGCCTTAGATTTCCATGAGGCCTCATTGCCTCTCGCACGTCGTCTGCTTCGCCGATCTGGTGTGCACCGCAACCAGCCGAGCCCGGTTCTCACTCACTGGTACCCACACGACAAGCGGTATAACCAATGCAAGCTGTCCGCGCCCGCTCTCAGCTGTATTCGTACATCCCATCCCGAAATCCTCGAAGACATCTGTGCATTCCGCGCGCTCAAAACGATCCTGTTCAACGACGGCAGATCTGAGATGGAGGACGTCCACACCTTCATCGCCGCGTATCGCAACTACCCCGGTCGCTTCGTTCTCGAAACGTTCGCGTACTGCACAGCCATCGAAGACGAACCAATGCTCCTGACTATTGTTGCGGACATCTTCCCAAACCTCCGACACGTTTGCATTTCCCTCCATATTCGTAACGTCTTCATTACACCCCACAGCCGGCGCCTGCACACGGTGAGTATCACCTACATACTAGATCGCATCTCTTGGTGTGCTAACGTCGCTCCCTCGCATAGCTTATCCTCACTCATCTCGCGTCTCACCCACACCACCTCATCGATCTGCACTCTCTCAGCATCCGACCGTTCCGGTGCACTTGCGAGGGCGCCGTAGTCCTTATGTCCCATTGGATACGCCTACTAACCACGATAACTGAGACTCGTTCTCACTTCTCTACCGCGTTCCTCTCTTGTTACACGATCCGCCTTCGAACCCCGGTGATAGACCACAGCCCGCTTCATCCCGCCATCCGATGGACTATCTCCAACACGTTGTACAACCCCATCGAACGGCTGAAGACAATTACAGCAGGAACTGCGGGGAGGTGGTCAGTCACAATCCGTTCTCACTTACGCCTTCCACTTACTAACTCACCATAACCCTGCTTTTCTACAGAGTCGCGACTTATCGCACATCGCCCACCCACTAATCCCAATTGCTACTCTTCCTCAGCTACCGCGGTCTTCATCCCGTCTTGACCACCATCGCCATCCTGCGACCATACGAGATTCCCGGTATCCCTCATTTATTTTCCCCTCCCCCGTTTTGTGTATATCAAATATACGACGAGGACAATCAGAACGAAAACCACATCGCGCATCATGAACACCAAGTTATCATCGAGGATGAGGATGACATGTAGCACCACATCACGCTGCAATCTGTTTTTCGATGTATATACATACACCTCGCAGCACGCCTTTACAAATTACTCCGCGAAAGATCAGAATCAGAATATGCCACAAAATCGATGACACTATAGCAGCCACAAAAACATTGCTTGGCGGAAACACATGGGTCCAGGCAGGATTCGAACCCGCATTGCGCGAACAGTACAAATACGACCGCGCGTGCTTCCAACTAAGCTACTAGCCCGTGAAAGTGCTTTCACACAGCTTTGCCACCTGTTCTTCGATGCATATACATACGCACGCCTTTACGATTTACTCCGCGAAAGATCAGAATCAGAATATGCCACAAAATCGATGACACTATAGCAGCCACAAAAAATTACTCGGCGGCAACACATGGGTCCAGGCAGGATTCGAACCCGCATTGCGCGAACAGTACAAATACGACCGCGCGTGCTTCCAACTAAGCTACTAGCCCGTGGAAGTGCTTTCACGCAGCTTTACCACCTTCCCTGCTAGCGATCTCGATGCTTCGGACGGGCCAAAAGGCGTGCCATTGGTCGCGCGAGATAACCTTTCAATCGCGTTTCAAGCCAAACAAGACAAAAGGTAACACGGCGTATATACCTCGACTTTCCGTCCGTCGGACACGCTGAGATCCCCGCCGTGTAAGTAGTATTAGCTGCAGGTGAAACGAAGATCACCCGGGGTTAAGCCGGGGTGTCCAGGGCCGCCCGGAGGGCCATACTTATACCCATTAGTCTAACCATGTATTGTAGCATTGTACATTTCTTCAAGCTGTACAATATCACGCTAGGCCAGCGGCCGCCTTGTGTGCACCCTGCAGTCCGCCCTCAGTGACGAGGCCCCGGATCCACGCCTTCGTGGTGACCATGCGAGCTCCGGTGTCCATCCACCACTCCGCCAGCTCGATCGAACGATACATCTTCTCGTAACGCCTATGCGGGACGTTTAGTGCGCGATCAGCAAAGCGAAGGTGCGAGGGAACGTACCACCAGACCCAGAAGTAATCCCACAGAAGCCCAATGGACATCCCCGACAAGCCTTTGTGGCGCAGCTCGTTGACAAGCCTCTGGCTCTCGTCAAGCCAGACAGCGAAGGTGCAGTACTTCGCCGTAATGAGGAATATGCGGACCTGTATGTAAGTTGTGAGTAGGAAGTACGATGTAAGATTGCGTCTCCAGCAGTGTCCGGACACCTACGTTCGCGTGAGTAGTAGCGAGGGCACGATCGAGACTCCTGCAATGCAACCGTCAGCTATCGTGTGAAGTATATGCGGGGAAGACGAACCTAGTCAAGTCATTCAGCTTGAGCACCATGAGCACGCGACGCGGTACCCTGCGCAGCACGTCAAAGACCGACAAGAGGAGACCCTCCTTCTGTACAACCGCGTTCCTGATAGCCTCCATCTCCTCCTCCGACTGTGCCGACAAGTCGATGATGCTTCCTCCACGCGAGAAGTTCCCTCCATTGGACGGGTCTTCGTTCGGGTCTTTCCAAGAGCCCTCGAGAGCAGCACGGCCGGTGATAGCAGCTTCAAAGACAGGATACTGCGGGCCTTCAAAATCGTATATGCTGCATATATGCGGGTCAACCTGCACTTACCAGGTCCTCGTCAATGTTGCCGACTAGCTTCGCGTACTTCTTGCGGGCCGCCAGCGTCTCTTCGGACGCAGGGGCGATAATTGATAGCCACCACTTGCTGTAGTTGATCCGGAGGGCGGTGTCGAGGTCGAAGTAGAGCCCGTGATCAAGCAGGACGATTTCGAAGTTATACGGAGATTGCGAGTCGGAGCCAGCAGGACGGATAAGCAGGTTGCCTAGCCACTCCCGTCAGCTGCTGTACCATCTGGACCTCGGAGGGAGGACACGTACCGGGGTGAGGATCCGCGTGGAACCATCCATTTATGTGAACCATTTGGCTGAATATTCTTGCCAACTCGAGAGCAACCTTGTTCCGGTCGATATTGTTCTCGGACAAGTATACCAGGTCGTCAACGCGTCCGCCTCGGATGTACTCCATGACGAGGATGCGCTTCTTCGCCTCCTTTACCTGCGCTGATGACTGTAGTGTGAACAGATGCTCACGAGACAGTCTTGAGAACACTCACGAATGTACAAAGATGTCCGCACGTTCTCGAAGTCTTCCATCGCACGCTCAGCGTTCCGCTTCTCGTGCACGAAGTCCATCTCCTTTGGCAGGTTCTCGCGCATCTCCTCGCCCAGCCAAGTGAACTCGAACTCGGGGAACAAGTGCTTGATCCACCCTACGCGCATATATGAGGAGATGCGACAGCCAAGGACACGAGACACATACCAAGCGAAACCTCGACCATCTCCATGTCAATCTCGCAAAACTCCTCCAGGTGCGGATGTTGCAATTTCACTGCGACACGCTCTCCGGACCCCTTCAGTTTCCCGACGTGCACCTGGGCCAGACTCGCTACACCGATCGGAATGGGGTCGAACTCGTCAAAGTAGTCCGATATTGAGATGCCAATATCCGAGATGAACATCTTCTCCAGGTCTTCATATGGTGTCGGCTCACACTGGTCTTGCAGTGGCCGCATTGTATTTGTCCATTCTCGGGGGAGCACTGCGCTTTGCGGTCATTGGGACTCGCCGGAGAGGCGAACGCGAAGAGGGCAACTCACACGGAGGCCATATGCTGCCCGAGCTTGATGAAGATGCCTGCGGCGTCCTGAGTCCAGGCCAGCACGGTCGCGGTCGTAAGGTGAACTCACGTACCTCCGTTCGCCAAGAGCGCCTTCAAAACTCTCTTCGCACTACGCGTGTGGCAATCCGAGTATGCGTCATGCCGCTCTTCCTCTGAGTTGTACGTTTTCGCGAACGTCAGCTTGTAGTCGATCGCGCCAAGAATTGCAGCCTCTGCGTGCGTACGGGTTGGTCACATAGATCTTTCAGGCTTACTCACGACTCACCCGCTACCCGTGAACACCGCACCACTGCCAGTGCCGTGTGTCGGAACGGTTGGTAGTAGTTGTACGCCAGCACACCGACGCCTCCCACCACCAGGACTGTCGTGGGTACCACGTACACCCATGGCTTGAGCTTAGGCAGGGATCGCGCAGCTTGCGAAGCCTCCGTAGATAGTGTCCGGTAGTTTTCAGCACGCTTTGTTCGTGTGCATCGCAAGAGTGTTTGCGGGGATGAGCCCGGCTTCCGGAGATGGAGTGCGCTGCATCGTCGTAGTGTGAACATGGGAAGCTCAGCTAGACTCTAGCTTCTAGAGATGAATATGAAAGCATAGAGCCGCAGCCAGCAATAGTGAACAACGAGATAAAGACTCGCGGTGGTCGAGGAGAACGAGGACCTCCACGGCGGCGCCCGTTTACGTCGTTACATCATAGTACTGAACGCCGGGCGCTTAATCGACTATAACCCTTCGTCCGTATATGGGCGAGCTACCGAAACTGGGGATCGCTCAGTGACCGAAGCAGCATCATGCACATGCCGTAGCCTCCCCAGACGGCGTCAAGCTTACTCTACAGGCGACTTCTCTAAGGTCAACAGATACTGAACGCCAGGCGCTTCTGAGCGAGGGCTGGATCAGAACTTCGTTAACCTCATGAACTTACTCTATGTTACATAAATAGTCACACATGAGCTATTGTAGATGATAATATAGTGCAACGCCAAGTCCACCCGCGGACATCACCGCCTCAACGCGATGCTGGTGGGCAGCTTGATGTCGTCTCGCTTTTGGTTGCCGAGCACAGAGTCTGGATACGAGATCGCAGACGTATCCGTATCCGTCGCGAGGCCAGGCAGGGTCGCCAACGTCGCAGCAGGGCGCACAGAGTTGAAACGCATTGTCGAGAGACGAGTGGATTGACTGCGTCCCGTCGAGGAAGAGCGTCCGTCCATATCGGAGGATGTCAGCCCAAGAGCGGCCATGATGATGATCATCGTCGGAACGATGCCCTGGAAACGCCGGTCAGCAAATGCAAGGGGAGGGGTCAAAGAACACTCACAGTGAGCTGAGCGATGGGGTCGTAGACGATGTAGAAGGCATTGCTTCCGATGAAGTACAGCGTGATTTCGATCACCAGAGCAGCACTGTAGATCATGGCCGACTCGATGATGAGGACCAGTGCCTTCGTGTATCGGAAAGGACCGATGGCTCCTCCAAGTTCGCGATTCATGAACCTGCAGTGACAGCGACATCCGTTCACAAAGGCAAAATATGTGGGGCAAGCTGGAAGACGCACCAGATTCGAGCAGCAATCAATGTAGTCACAACTACGTTCGTGACAAGAGACAGACCAAAGAGGGATCCGTTCCATTTCTCCAATTCCTAGGAAAATAGAGGTCAGACAAACCGCCTGACGACTGACTTTACATGCGGTACTCACGTCTGCAAATGCGCTATGAACGCTCTTCGCTTCGGCGAAAATGATTGCTTGGGCGAATCCGCATACTACCCTCTGTCAGTGTGTGCTCTGCCGCTATCCTGAAGAGTCGTGGCTCACCTGCCGACGCGGCAATCAATAGGATAGGTAGGATACACACCCTCCAGTTCCCGCCCCATACGTGCCAGCATCGCCAGACCTATCAAGGATTATCGATTAGCACGCTGACATACACGATGGCATAAGTGACGTACGACAATGCTGTCGCCCAGAATCGAGTTCACGGAATGAATGGTAACCTTGACTACGTTCGGCGGCGTAGAGACGTCGGAGAAGTACGCCCCGGGCCCTCCAGGCTGGTCGCGGAGGTCGATGAAGCCCCGGATAAGTCGATAGAACCCAAGCGAGACATGAGTCGTGGAGAAGCAGAACATGAGGACTGCGACCCAGAAGATGACCGGCGTAATCTTCCGCGTGCGCCGGAAATGTAAGATGTAGACGTATGAGCCAAAGAGGCATATGTTGATACCTGCAGGTAGACAAACTAGTCAATTTCCGTGCAAGTTATAATTGAAAAATTGGCAGCGCACCGTAGAACAGCGTCTTGAGCCAGATGGCAGTGAGGTAAGCCTTGTCGAGGGGGATGAGTGCGACTGCCATGGTGGCGTTGGTGGGTTGGCCGGGACCCGATGCGTTCCTGCGTTAGGTGTGCGGCAACTTCATTATGTACCTGGGCGACTTGTGGGGTGGGAGACCTCGGAAGAAGTTTGACTTGTCCCCTATAGTATAGAAGTCGCTTCTTCTCATACGCACATGCGGTTGGCCTCCTGGTACCTGGGATGCTGGTCTC